CCTGGGATCGAGCCCCGCATCGGGCTCCCTGCTCTGCAGGAAGCCTGCTTCTCCCTCTCCCGCTCCCCCTGTTTGTGTTCCCTCTCTAGCAGTGTCTCTCTCTGTCAAATAAATAAAAAAAATTTAAAAAAAAAAAATTGTGAAGCCTAGTTTCCTACCATTTTTATGGATACCATTGGTAATATGTACTCGTGAAAACAAACTAGTAAAAAAAGCCTATAAAGTAGGATGCATACTGTGACTTTGAAAATATATACGTGAGTACACATCAATGGAAATTCTGGAAGATACATGCCCAAACACATCAGTTATCCCTGAGTGGTCAATTTCTAGCTGAGGAGGAGTTCATCCCCTTTGGTTTTTCATGTATTTTCTAATTTTTTCTCACATCGAATGTGAATGATTTGAGTAAATAAAAGTTTTTAAGGTGACAAGGTCAATTTGGCCATCTCGTAATATCTACCAAAATTTAAAATGCACACACCCTTTGACATAATTCTACTTCTAGCAATTCTACCTGCAGATAGAGTTGTTGAAAGAAAGACAAAGATGAGTATTTTGGTATTCTTTGTAAAACCAAAAGTGAGAGACTTGTCCCCTGGCTGGGCGTGGTCAAACAGGCGTATCCACAATTTTGTGTGCAGCAGGTGAGAGCGTGCGGGCGCACACGAGCAGATGTGTGTGGACATTGGCATGGTCACCACGGCACACTCCTAAGTGACAACACATACTGAAGAGTGTGTTCACAAACTCTGCACATGTCCAGACATGGCGCATAGCTCAATTTCACTGTCATACTGAGAACGGATTAGGAATGAGAGAGAAACTCAAACCTGCACTCACCTCTTTGAAAAGAAACAGGAGACTAACTTCAGCAGGTAATGGAAAACCTGAATAAGAAAAACAGTTTTACTCTTTTATGTAGATATCCACTTTTCACTTGGCATACATGTAAAACTTAATAACTCACAGTCCGATTTGAAGTTTTCTGCTTTACATACAGGATCATGACATTTCTGATACCACACTTCATTTTTCAGATCAACCAAAATCCTTTACATTGGGGAAAAAAAAAAAAAGGAAAAATTTATTACTTAATCCCCAGACTGGATGGAAAACAAAATTCATCTACATGCTGCTTACCAGAGATGTGCCTAAGACTTCAAGAGGGAGACAAGGTAAGAAGTAAAAGGATGGAAATAAATATACACCAACCCAAAGAAAACTCTGGTTGTCAAAAATAGCACTCCAAATGGACTTTAGGGCAAAAAAATACACATTGACAAAAGATCCCTCCAAGAAGACCTAATTCCCGACCTGTCCCCACCAAGTGAGAGAGCTTCAAAATGGGTGAGCAAAACTGACAGGACTCCAAGGATGAATGAACCATCTACCATAAATCAAGATTTTAAAAAACATTCTTTTAGTAATTGATACAAATAATCACAAAAAATTCAGTAAGGCTACAGAAAATTTGAACGACCTAAAAAGCATTTTTTAATAAAATTAAAAGCAATTAACAAGTTTGCTATAATAGGCATATATGAACAAGGCCTCAGATCATTAGAAGCAGTTCTTTACAATCACACATAAAAAACAATTATAAAAAAACTGACTATGCTAGGTACCATGTCAATCCCATTAAATTTAAAAGTATTCACACAACACATCTCTGACCACAAAGCAAATTATTTAGAAATAAGCAACAGAGGGCCACCTGGGTGGCTCAGTCGGTTAAGTACTGGACTCTTGGTATCGGATCGGATCATGATCTCAGGGTCCTGGGATCAAGCCCTGCATCGGGCTCCACTTCCCAGAGTTTGCTTGTCCCTCTCCCTCTGCTCCTCTCCGGCCCCCCACCACTCCCTCATGTGCTCACCCTCTCTCTCCCTAATAAATAAAATCTTTAAAAGAAAAAAAAAGAAGTAACATAAAAATTGCTAATAGAAACCCATAACTTGGAAATTAAAAAATTTCTAAATAACCAATTACTCAAAGAAAAATCATGATGGAAATTAGAAAATGTTTGGAACCAAATGGAATTGAAAATACATATTAAAATACGTGAAATAGCACTAAAATGATCCTTGGAGAGAAATTTAGAATCCTAAAAGCTTATTTACAAAGAATGGCTAAAGACCAGTAAGTAACTAGCTTGGGAAATGAACAACAGAATAAACCCTAATAAAATAAAAGGCAGGAAGTAATAAAAAGCAAAAATTCAAAAGACCCAACAAGGCCAAAATATGAAAACTAACACAATTCTTGCAAGATTGATCAAAAATAAATAAGGTAAAGAAACAAATGTTATTAGAAATTAAGTGCAGATGTAATGACCAATCACAATATACTAAAAATTTAAGAATATTAGAAACAATTTCTGCCGATAACATTAAAAATTTTGGTAAAATAGACAAAGTACTAGATAAAAAGATACCAAACTAAGCAAATCTAAAAAGTTACAGAAAACCTGAACCATCCTCATAAACACCCCAATGCTGCAGTTCCCAAACTGTACACCAGCCTGTCCCCAGGCCATGAAGAATATTTACACCCTTCCAGGGAAACACAGTGATACCTGGCATCTGTCAGGCACCCCACATAAGACTTGCTTACAGTTCACAGCTTCGGTATTATAACAGGCTTCATTCCTTCCAGTGGTGGCCTATCTTTGTAGAGCTGAGGTTTTTGGTGGTGACTGTGATGACAAGGACCATAATCAGGACGCCTGGGTGGGGCTCAGTTGGTTGAGGGTCTGTCTTCGGCTCAGGTCATGATCCCAGGGTCCTGGGATCGGATCGAGTCTCGCATTGGGCTCCCTGCTCAGCGGGGAGTCTGCTTCTTGCTCTGCCTCCTCCCCACCCCCCCGCTTATTCGCGCTCTCTCTCAAATAAATAAAAATAAAATCTTAAAAAAAAACAATAAACAACTCATGGGACTTTAAAAAAACAATCAAACAAGTACCATAACCATCAATGTGGAGTAAGAGATAACTGTGGGGTGGCAGCATTCAATCTAATTCCAAGGTTTAAGAGATTATGCAATGCTCAGAAGGACACACACCCCATTAATAAGTATTTTTATTTAAGAATGAGTTCAAAGGTATAAACCTTCAGTTATAAATAAGTCATGGGGATGTGATGTACAGCACGGTGACTAACTATAGCTAATAGTACTGCACTGCATATTTGAAAGTTTCTAAGAGAGGGTGCCTGGGGGGCTCAGTCGGTTAAGCATCTGCCTTCGACTCAGGTCATGGTCCCAGGGTCCTGGGATCGAGCCCCGCATCGGGCTCCCTGCTCGGCGGGAAGCCTGCTTCTCCCTCTCCCACTCCCCCTGCTTGTGTTCCCTCTCTCGCCGTGTCTCTGTCAAATAAATAAATAAAATCTTTAAAAAAAAAAAAAAAGAAAAAACAATTATAGCTATGCATGGTGTCAGATGTTAACTAGACTTCCTGTGGAGATCACTTTGCAGTATGTACCTACACAAATCACTACATTGTACAGCTAAAAGTAATGCTGTCAACTATATCTCAATTAAAACTTCTTTCTTTGATGAATACTGTTTTTTCAAATAGCTACTAAATTGTTAGATCATGATTACTTACTGTGTGAAACTAATAAACTGAACTGCTAGGTATCTGTTGGCCTGGGAGAAGCGTGTAAAAGCTGCTAAGATCCAGAGGGCACCAAGAGTGGAGAAGGCTGGGACCCTGTAGGCCTGCACGCTAGGTGGAGGGTCCTTGCCCACAGCAGGCTCTCCACAGGATGAGGACTTCTGTGTACTGTAAATAAACCTACTCTGTGGATTTCTGAGGCACAGGTCCCTGGGAATGTCACACATGCTACGTAACTACAGGGCTGTACAACACACACGTTTCATGACCTCAGCAGCCCCCGTGTGTGGTGACCACTCACTTCTGCCTCGGCTTTCGACCGGAGTCACAGAGAGCCTCCAGTGCAGGACGGACCTGGTGAGCTGAGCCAGGCGTTGCAGGCCTCGGTCGGCTTCACCTGTTCCTTTGGATTCCTTGAATCCTTAAAAAGTATTCAGAAACCCCAACATTGAGTAAGATCTCTGTTTCGTGTGAGTGTGGTTTGATCATCCAACCTCATATTCATTAGTGATCAGGTAAATTCAGATGAAAACCACAGTATCATCTTTTATCACCAGATCAGCCAAACAGAGGTTTTTAACACACCAAGTGTTGGTGAGAATATGGGACAGTAGAAAATCTGAAAACACTGCTGGTGGGAGTATACATTAGCTGGCCATTTGGGAAAATAACTTATTACCTAGTAAAATGAAATATGTGCATATTCTATGACAGAGCAATTCTGCTTTCAGGCATATACTCTGAGAAACTCTCACATATGTGCCACAGGCAAGATGTACCAAAGTATTTGTAGCTTCACTGTTCATACTAGCAAGCCAAATGTCCACAGGAGGAAAACAGACTGGCACGTTTATATTTGTATAATGGTGTACTATACAATAGTGAAAAAAAGAATAAGCAACTACATGTTGCAATATGGATGAACCTCACAAATTCAATGTTGACCAAAAAGCAATTCAAAGGATACAATTTACACAAGATTCAAAAACACGCATTGTTTGGAAATATAAATATATATGGGGAAAAAATATTTAAGGAAAACAAGGGAAAGATTAACACAAAACCCAGGATAACAGGTACTATTATCTCACATGGTCAGAGGAAAGGAAGAAATTGGGGCTGGTCCCACAAAGTGCTTCTGAGGTTTGGTCAAGTTCTGCTTCTGAAGGTGGGTGGCAGATAGGACAAGTAATGATTTTAGTGTTAGTCTTTGAAGTGTATATACACATTATAATACACACTTTTATACATACAGTGATTTCATAGTTAAGAAAAAGAAGAGATTATGGATACATAACAGAAGCAGGTAATTTTTCAGGAAGAAATATGTAGCAACCTGAGAATCTCAAAAAGTTAACAGATGATCATCTTATGATAATGATTTTCTGGTAAACTTATATGCAGAGTAAAAGACTAGAAAGATATACCAAAATCATAACCATAGTTATCACTGGTTCTGGGCCTCTGGGGGAGCTTTTGCTTTGTGTTATTCTATGTGATAGCTTTTGTGTATTGAGCATATAGTTTTTGATTTTTTTTTTTAACTGAGCTAATCTACATATAGAAGTATAGCATTAAATGGTGCTACCCAAGATGTTTCCAGCTTTCTAGCAAAAGCTTCAGGATCTTTTCTCATGTCTGGCACACATGCTCTAAACAATTGATATACAGAAGTCTCAGCTTTGATATTAAATATAAAACATATATATAAAACAGAGCAAAATTTCCCGTATCATAACTGATAACTACTGGGTTTCTGTCTTATTCCTATTGTCACCATATCCTTGTATTATCTAAAATTCTATTTCATCCTTCACTTCCTCTCCTTTTGCCAGGGGGATTTTAAAGAAAACTCTTAAAACAGGGCCTCGGGTATACAGCAAGCATTCAATACTGGTTCCCTTCAATACCATTCTTTGTCTTTTGTTTTTAAGATTTTATTTATTTATTGGGGGAGGGCACAGAGAGAGAGAAGCAGACTCCCCACTGAGCAGAGAGGGAGGTGGGGCTCAATCCCGGGACCCTGAGATCATGACCCAGGCATCCCAACACCATTCTTTGCCTTGACCATGTTAAGCTAACTCCAACTCTTAGCACTGAATAATTTCCTTTTTACCCAAATCTGCTCAATTTCATTTTACACTCCGTAATATGTCAAGGACCAATGGCAAGAGACGAGGGAGAGACACTTCATCACCCCTGTTCGCTCACCTGTCTCTTGCCTCTAATTTCTTCCTAGCCCTGCTCCAGTCTGTTTTTCTCTGCTCAGGATTATACTATCTAAGGGATTATTTTACCGAATAAAGTACAAATAAAGATGACATGTGCTATAAAGCAAGGTGATAATTAAGATAGTCAATTTAATATTACAAAACATAAACCAAATATTTGATATAACTAAATTTATTATAAAACCAAAATCATTTTCACACTCAACTGTAAAAATTATAAACATTTAAAATAATACTGGTTAAATACCCAGAACTTGTTAGCAAACACCATTACTTACATGATATTATTGCTCTTGTGGGCTCTTCCAATGTTTTCACACCAGCGATATTTACAAATATCATAAACCAGTAATTCTTCTGGGAAAAAGTAGCTCCAATGCCGAATTCCTAAAATGCAAATAATGTTTCTAAAGGTATTAAAACTCTGTCATATTATAGTGAATAAAGAATAAGATTATCTTTACCTCCTTTAATGCCATTTTTATTCACCAAAGAAAGAACAAACTGATCAATTTCAGGGTAGGGTGAACAGTGAAAACCTTCAGTGTTTTCTGCTGCAACAGAGAGAAAAACTAATTATAATCAATGTGGCTAAAAGTTGAAGAGTTCAATGTTAAGCTGTTCTTCAGGACAATTACAGGTTTTGAGGTCCCTGTAGCTTTTTGTTTCCATGGCTTTGACGCAGCCATGGGCTCTTGCTTGCCTTACAAGCAAGCAGGGAAAATTCAAACGTCTCAGTTAAGTCAAATGTGAACTACTACTCATAAGAAGCATCTGTAATCATTTCAACTGCTTTCTTCATTTGGATGAAGAGAAAAGCAACCCCTTCGAGCCAGGAGCCAGTCTACTACTAGCAGCTAGGCCTTGGTGGTATTACAAAGCAGGCTGGTCACTCACAGTTCAGCACCGGTGCTTTCCTGCCGCTCAGAAATTATCTCACAGAATTTCAACATCAGATACGGCCAGTCTGTGGCCACGATGATTCGTGACAAAAACAAGAAAACCCTGTAATCGTGTCTGAACGCAGACAAAACATGAACGTTCTCCAAACTGCAAAAATGACCAACACCTCTCATCTTATCTGATGTAAGTAACCGCTGCTGCTTTACCCATTATCACTTCACACCCACTGCCATCTGCCTTGCTTCTAGATTGAATTTATGAAGATATTCAGTCACAGAATCGTCTCTGACAGTACCCAATTCGAAACAAATCCACGCCTCCTCAGACACTTCTCAAAAGCACCTAACTCAAGCCTGCATCCTATAATAAATCTTTTCTAATACCCTTTTCCTGAGATGCCCCACAGTTCCCCATGGCAGGAGCTCTCCACTTTGAAGCCAGGACCAAACCTCACTTGTTCACTTGTAGGTGTGTTCTCCCATGATCCTTAGCTGTAGGGCTCTAACAACCCAGTTATATTCTGTATCTAAGAATCTCCTGGAATAATTTACGATAATTTGTTTAAAATGTCATTTAGTTTTTAAACACAGAATTATCTACTTTTCTTAAAATAAAGCCTATATTTCACTTACAAAAGATTGTACATAATTGGAGAAACTTTGGAAAATACGTTGAAGCAGAAATGAGAGCAATGAAGTCCAAATCAACGTCTAGAAGTAACTGTTAAACAACCAGAAGAAAATAAACCTAAGAAAATGTTATCCACGTTTTTAATGAACCTGGGATCACACCTCCAAAATAATTTTAGAGTCTATTTTTTCTCTTAACATAAATGGACATTTTCCATTTTATACCGGCTTTATAAATTGAAATTAAATGGTTACAGAGTATGTTATAGGATGTCACCAATCCCATTTTCTTGTACATTTAGATTGTTTCTGGTTTTTTGCTCTTATAAATAATGATGGCCCAAAATATGTGTATAAAAATGTTTACTGGAGAGTTAATGTATGGGATGTTAGAAAAAGCCTGTATGTTTTTCAGTAAAAGAATGAAAAACATACACATTTCTTGAAAAAATTCTGCAGCCATTAAAAGAATGAGAGAATACAGGGACAGCTCCGCTGGGTTCAGTGGAAACGAACAGTGGCTGCCCATCTGTGATTGTGGGCAGAAGGGAAGAGAACTTTTAGTTTTTTCTTTTAATAGGGGTTTCTTTCTACAAACAATCTATTTTCTTCTGGGTTTTTTTTTTCCCCTCAAAATCACCATATAATGAAAATTAGTGAATAAGCTTTAAAAAAAATATCTTTTCTTCACGCATTTTCCATTTTGAATAGAAACTAAGTTGTTTTAAAGGATCAGTAGATATGAATCCTGAAGATTCAAGATTTTTAAGGCAAAATAGACTTTGTATCCTTACATTTTCATAGGAAATTGTTTTCTTAAAATTACCTTTAGTGTTGGTACTGTTAGAATATTCAACTCGTTTCTGTTTATTCTGAGATGTGTCACATGTCAGAATTCGTAAAGTATCTGAGAATCTGAAGAAAATATTGAAAGAAACAAAGTAAGGTTACCTAAGAATCAAAGGGAGATGGCTACAGAAAGGAAACTGAATTTCACCTAGTTCCACATTAAAATCCTTTATTCAACAGCTAATTCTTCTAGGACAATTAAGTCACATTTGCCTACAAAAACACCAATCCAAACAGTAGTCTGGTGATCATTTAAAATACTTTTTTCAGGGGCGCCTGGGTGGCTCGGTTATTAAGTGTCTGCCTTCAGCTCAGGTCATGATCCCAGGGTCCTGGGATCGAGCCCCGCATCGGGCTCCCTGCTCCGCGGGAAGCCTGCTTCTCCCTCTCCCACTCCCCCTGCTTGTGTTCCCTCTCTCGCTGTGTCTCTCTCTGTCAAATAAATAAATAAAATCTTTAAAAAAAAATACTTTCTTCAACTACAGTGTCAATCAGAGGACTCTGGGACTGCTGAAGCCATGGAATGAAGTATATAAATCTATTCTTCAAATGCACAGGGCCTGTGAAATTTTTGTTACAATGATTTGAAAAGTGTGAATAATGGGTGGCGGGGGGAAGGAAGGAAGAAGGGATGAGAGCAAAGGAAAAAATGAATTAAAATAAACTGAAAGACACATTCATAACCCTAAAGAATTTAGCCTTCATTTCAGGAAGAAATGGACACAACAAACAAAAATTAAGGAAACCCTATTCAGCAGAACTCTCCACTTCTGTGGAATGAATACTGAAACTACAAAGGAAATGGGGTTTGGTAATAGGGAGATGACTTCAGGCCGTCTTACAGGCCGTGGTGCTTTTCTCACCCAAGGCAAAGTAAGATCCTACTCTTGGCCAACAACAGTGAACAGTGGCTGTCATACAATTTTTCCACTATCCCCACAGTGCTTCCAGAATCGCGAAACTGCTACTGCTAACTAACATTCACTGAGCAGATAACATGTGCCAGACACGGCTGTCATTTTGTGTACAGTTTCGTTTTTTTTAAATTTTTTTTAAGATTTCATTTTTATTTATTTGACAGAGAGAGAGAGCGAGCAAGAGAGCACAAGCAGGGGGAGCAGGAGAGGGAGAAGCAGGCTCCCTGCTGAGCAGGGAGCCCGATGCGGGGCTCGATCCCGGGACCCTGAGATCACGACCTGAGCCGAAGGCAGACGCCTAATGACTGAGCCACCCAGGTGCCCCTATGTGTACGGTTTTAACGCAATCTTCACCACTCCCCAAGATAGGGGGTGATATCATTTCCATTTAAAAGGTAAGGAAGCAAAGACTTTGACATTACTTCTGAAAAATGTTATGAAAGAACTCAAAGTCCAGAAATAACATGAAGAAAAACCACCCATCTTCCCACCCTCCTGGGTAACTGCTGCCAAGTGGACATCTGGACACAACGTCCCCTCCAGCGAAGTATTTTAAATATTTTATTAACATTTATTTCTATGGGATTTCTCCTGAGAATTCTATCTAGGGAAGGCCAAGGAAAAAGAAGAGGAGCAAGTTAATATAGCAAGGCAATTTAGTCTGATCATTAAACACGTGATTTGGACTAACAAAATTTGCCAGCCCAGATATAGGAAAGTGGAGGCAAACGTTTCTGTTGAAAGGGGTCTTTCACACTTTTTAAAAATGACCAAAGAGTGGCAACTTAAGTGTTCAACAACAAAACTGACAATAACTTAGAGTTTATCAGTATAATGGAAAACTATATAGGCATTAAAAGTTTTAATTACAACTAACTGTTGCAAATTATTAGCTTGGCAGATATTCATGATACAATGTTAAGTGGATAAAACAACTGACATAACCACATAAATAACTCAAAAAATATTCTTTGAATGAAGGAGGTATGTAAATTATAAGTAGATATTAATAGTAACAAATGGAGGAAAGAAAAAAGTTAACCTAGAATTTTAAGAACTTTCATTTTCTTAAGTTAGAACGAATTTACACAATTCACATTTTGGTACTATACAATGCCTATCACTGTTTAAAGAGCACTCATGAATACCTAACGGTTTGATTCTGGTACTATATACCTGACATTGCTGACCAAAGAAGATAGGAAATACTGATTTTCTTCAGAAATAGTCTTGGACTGTTTAGGAAAAAATTTGTTGTCTTCAGCAATCTCCAAAGCCACCTGTTTTCCTATCTTCGATGATTTATACAGCCGAAAGTTTCTATTTCTTGTATAAACTCCTATTGTCAAAAATTAATAAAACAATTATGAATGCATGTTTTCAGTGATTTGTTTTTACAGTCAGCAAATATTAATTTTGTATAGCATTATTAGAGAAACAATTGGTTCTATTTCAAGGTGGCAGTGTAGGAAGATCCTGAACTCCCTCCACATGTGATCACACCAAATCTATAGCTATACTTGGAACGATTTCCTCTGAAAAAAATCCCAGCAGATTAACTCCTTCACCAAATGAGACGGAAACCACACCAAAGCAGGTGAGAAAGGCTGACACATAATCTCACCATAAGCCCCACCTCCAGTGCAATAACCTACAACTGGGAGAGAATTCAAAACCTGGGGCTTCTCCCTGAAAGCAAAGGATTCATACCTCATGTTAGGTACCCCAACTTTTAAGGCCTGCACCTAGGAGATGAGCCTCAGAAACATCTGGCTTTGAAGACCAACTGGGCTGTGGCAAACTGAAGAAGGGCTCTTAAGGGCTTCCGTGCAGACTCACTCACCCCAAGGCCTAGTGCAGAAGCAGCCCTTCAAAAGTGCCCAGACTTTATGTGAAAGGGACTCATTTCCAAACTTTAAAGTGCTGGACTGAGGGATGGATACTCTCCAGGGATGGAGGTGGTGGGCGCCATCTTCTCTGCCTCTCTTAAGCCAGCGGGCACCATCTTTTTTCTTTTTCTTTTTTCTCCCCCTCTTCCTTTCCCCCCCTTTTCTTCGTGGGTGCCATCTTTGTTCAGCCCCTCTGCCTCACTCCAGCCAGCGGACACAATCTTTGGCTCCCCCCCTGCTGTGCTCCAGAGCACCAGTAGCTCCTGGAGGAAAGTGTCTATTCGAATACATCTGGTGCCCCAGTGTTTACTGGTGATCCATTTTTCAGGTGATCCCTTGATCACCCGGCTCTGAAGGCCAGGGAGGCCTGCGTTCCTGGGTCCCCAGGACTATAACGACTGGAGAGACAGTTCTCAGGACACTACCACTCCCTGGGCACCGCACAGAGACAGACTGAAACACATCCCCAGTTTCTGAGAGAGAGGCCTATTTGCCTGTGCAGCAGCTCTCGCCCACGGGGCAGGCTTCTGGTCTGGCACACTTACAGGAGCCTGCAGAAGGGCTCTCAGGGAAGGGAGCTCAGTGCACAGCATTTTTGCACTCTCCCTCTGCTTCATCCAGCTCACTGGTATCTTCCAGAACGGAGCTTATGCCCTCTGTTTGATGCCCTGATTTTTGCAGTTGCTGCCAGGGGACTTCTTTCCATCACCTGGCTCTGGTGGCCAGTGGGACTGACGCTCACAGGTCCTACAAAACTAACCAACGGAGAAGGAGTTCTTCAACAGCGACCATCCCGAGGGCACAGCAAGAGGCAAGAGGCCCAGGAGCTCAGTCTCTCTGCCTAAGAAGCTCATTAGCTACCAGCATTGGTGCAGCTGTTGGGGCAGGCTTCTAATTAAACACGCACCTAGGGGCTAACTGGAAACCCTTCCTGAGACCTTGGAGGGCAGGCAGTATTTTCATCCTCTCTTTTGCTGTGCTTCACAGCACCAGCATCTCTCGGAGGGGAACTTGTATACGCGTCTCGTGCCCCAGTTTTGACATCAGGTACCCTGCTTTTGGGGGCTGCCTCCAAGGGGATAACCCTCAATCACCTGGCTCTGGTGGCCAGGGGGCTCCGGTCTGGCGGGGTGGGCTCACGACTGTAACCATTAGAGAGAGAGTTCTTAGATGGCTCCCACCCGCAGGGCACTGCACAGACAGCAGACTGGAGCACCCCCAGCCGTTATGGGAAAGAGGCCTAATGGCTTGTCCTAGAGCTCTGGCCTGAGGGGCAGTCTTCAAGTTTGGCACATGTCTAGAAGCTCCAGAGCTGCTCTCAGGGAACGTAGGCCAGGGGATGCTATCTTCGTGCTCTCTTCTACCTCACGATATCTCACCAGGATCTCTCAGAAAGGAGCTTATATGCTCCTCAAGTCCTGATTTTTGCAACTACCACCCACGGGACACCTCCACATTACCTGACTGTGAGGGTCAGTGGGACTTACACTCGCAGTCCCATATGACTATACATATTTTCATTCTTGAAAAGCTGCTGCCTGAGGGTCTGGCTTCCAATCACCTGAATCTAGGTGCTGAATGAGATCCTCCCCTTTGGGACATTAACTGGGCCTGGCATATTCTGAAGACCTGGGAGCTCTTAAAAATAAAATCGGCTGCTTGGATAATTATAAAAGTTTGAGAAACAGCCAAGAGCTAGGACAGGGCTGAAGGATAAGTTTCATCTCCTACACAAGGCCAACCCTTCAAGACTGGGAGGGGATGCTATTTCATCTAATGCACACAAACAGAGTCAAGCAAAATGAGGAACAGAGGACTACATTCCAAACAAAGAAGATAAAACTCTTAAGCAAACTTAATGAAATGGAGATAAATAATTTATCTGATAAAGAGTTCAAAAAGTAATGGTCATAAAGGTACTCACCAAACTTGGGAGCAGAATGGATGAACACAGTGAGAACTTCAACAAAAAGACAGAAAATGTAAGAAAGTAGCAAACAGAAGTCACAGAGCTGAAAATACAAAAACCAATCTGAAAAATACCCTGCAGGGGTTCAACAGCAAACTAGATGAAGCAGAACCAATGAACTCAAAAGACAGGACAGAGGAACTCACCCAACAGAGCAGCGGAAAGAGAAAAGAATGAAACAAAGTGAAGATAGCTTAAGGGCCTTCTGAGACAACACTGAGCAGACTAACATTTACATTATACGAATCCCAGAAGGGGAAAGGGCCAGAAAACTTCTCTGAAGAAATAACTGAAAACCTCAATAACCTGGGGAAGGAAAGACATACAGATCCAGGGCGGACTGCGAGTTCCAAATGAAATGAATGCAGCAGAGAGACCCACACCAAGACACATTATAATAAAATGCCAAAAGTTTAGAAAAAAAAAAGAGAGAATCCTAAAGGCAGCAAGAAAAAAATCACTTATTACATACAAGGAGACCCCATATGACTATGAGCACATTTTTCAGCAGAAATGTTGCAGGCCACAGAGAGTGGCATGATATATTCAAAGTGCTGAAAGAAAAAACCTCCAACCAAGAATACTCTATCTGACAAAGTTACCATTCATAACTGAAGGGCAGATAAAGAGTTTTCCAGACAAGCACAAGATAAAAAAGTTCATTACCGCTCAACTGGTCTTACAAGAAATGTTAGAGGGACATCTTTAAGCTGGAAAAAAACAAAGAGCAAGTTGCTAATTAGTAACAAGAAAACGTATAAAAGTGTAAATCTCACTGGTAAAGGCAACCATATATTAAAGAAGTATATCAATCAAGTGTGAAGCTAGTGTAAAGGTTAAAAGACAAAAGTAGTGAAAACTGCAACTATAATAATAAGCTAAGGGACGCACAAGATAAAAAGATGTAAAATGTGACAGGCAAAACGTAAAACGGGGGGAGCAGAGCGTAAAAATGTACAGCTTTGAATGAGTTCACACTTAAGTTGTTATAAACCTAAAAAAGGCTACTATGAATGTAAGTCGTTATCCGTAAGCCTCATGGTAACCACAGAGCAAAAAACTATAGTAGCTACCCAAAAGATAATGAGAAAGGAAGCGTGCCACTAAAGAATTCATCAAACCACAAAGGAAGTGAGCAAGAGAAGTAGAAAAAAAAAGAATTAAAAAACAGCCAGAAAATAATGAACAAAATGGCTACAAGCACATATGGATCAATAATTATTGTAAATGGATTAAATTCACCAATCCAAAGCCAGAGAGTAGCTGAAAAGATAAAAACAAAACAAGCCCCATCTATATGCTCCCATTTCAGATATAAGAACACACACAGACTGAAAGTGAAGGGATGGAAAAAAGATGTTCCACACAAATGGACACCAAAAGAAAGCTGGGGTAGCTAGCTCTACTTTCCTCAGACAAAATACTTCAACACAAAGACTGCAGTAAGAGACAAAGAAAGGCATTACATAATGACAATGGGGTCAATCCAAAAAGATATAGCACTTACAAATATTTAGGCACCAACACAGGAGCACCTAAATACATAAATCAAATATTAACAGATCTAACAAGAGAAATAGAAATACAATAGTAGGAGACTTCAATACCCCCACTTACATCAATGGATAGATCATCCAGACAGAAAATCAATAACAAAGAAACATCAACCTGAAACTACACATTAGACCAGATGGAAATAACAGATATATACAGGACGTCCCATTCAAAAGCAACAGAATACATTCTTCTCAAGTGCATATGGAGCATTCTCCAGCATAGATCATACATTAGGCCACAAAATAAGGCTTAACAAATTTGAGATTGAAATCATATGAAGCATCTTTTTGACCACAATACCATTAAATTAGAAATCAATCCTAAGAAAACTGGAAAATTCACAAACATATGGAGATCAAACAACGTGCTACTGAAAAAAAAAATAGGTCACGAAGGAATCAAAAGGGATAAATACCTAGAGACAAAAAAAAGAAAAAGGAAGAAATACAACAAACCTATACCTATGGGATTCAGCAAAAGCAATTCTAAGAGGGAAGTTCATAATGATAAATACCTATATCAAGAAACAAGAAAAATCTCAGACAACTTTACACCTCAAGAAATTAGAAAAAGAACAGCAAACAAACCCAAAGTTAGTAGAAGAAAGGAAATAATAAAGATCAGAGCAGAAGTAAATGAAATGGAGACTTTCAAAAACAACAGAAAAGATCAATGAAAGCAAGAGTTGGTTCCTTGAAAAGATAAACTGACAAGCCTTTAGCTAGACTCACCCAGGAAAAAAGAGAGTACTAAAATCAGGTCAGAAATGAAAGAGAACACGTTTCAACTGATACCAAAGATATACAAAGCATCACAGAAAACGACTGTGAGCAACTGCACCCCAACAAATTGGGCAACCTGAACAAGTCTGCCACTTCCTAGAAACGGATAACCTTCCAAGGCTGAATCATGAATAGAAAATAG